TTTTAAAGGACATATGACTTAAAAACTGCACCAAAAACACTTCTCAGAGGTGCTTTTCAGGCGTTTTCCACTGATTTTAATGGGAAGAGGAGTTTTGGGGCTTCTCCTCCCTTTTTTTTTTTTTTTTTTTTTTTTTTTTTTTTTTTTTTTACTCCCCAAACATCCCCCAAAGATGCTGCAAGCAGGAGTTTTTTTTTTTTTACACCGCAAGTGCAATGCCTCAGTGTGAAAATATACATAGATATACATTCACAAACATTTTGGTCTAAATTTTATGAAGAAATTTTATCTTTATTGGATATGTTTTTATAGCAAAAATAAACTCAGTGGTGATAATATACCACCAAAAGAAATCTCTGTGGGGAAAAAAAGAGAAACATTTAATTTGGGTAAAGTGTTGCATGACTGCGCATTTGCCAGTTAAAGTAGCACAGTGCTGAATAGCATACCAATGGGCTGGTCATGAAGTGGGTAAAACGTTCCAGACCACAAGTGGTTATATGAAATTCTGCTAGTGTATAGTTGGCTTTGGATTTGTAAAATTTTTAAGTTGTGTGTGTACATATTTAGAATTCAGAGTAAGAAAAATAATTTTATGGTGGTGGGAGTGGCAAAAATCCCTCTACAAGTCCAGGCTTTGCTTTCTGTACAGTGGAATGTAATGTAAAATTTGTCCTTGGCAGCTGATTGCTCCTGTTTTTCTGGTTTATCTGACAAACTCTGTAACCTCACCGTGGTGTTGTGTACAGTAATGTTTCTTATCATGTGACTTAGCAGGAGTTCCCCTCCCATCAGTACAGCAGCAGATGATTTTATCAGATGGCCTAGCTGTATTATAGGACACTTTTTTTGTTTTTAATTTTATTTTTAAAGAGGAGTAACTTGCTTAAAGTGACCTTCTATTAAAGAGTTTAAACTTTAATTGAAATTTTTCTAAAAATGCTCCTTTTTATACTGTCAGGTAATACAAAAGGCAAAACTTTTCTATTTTGTATAGCGTAACTCCTGTCAATTTTTTTTTTTTTTTTTTTTTTTTTTTCTTTTATGGCCCACTGGGGAGGTTTTCCTTCACTTCCTGTCCCATAGACACAATAGGCTATTGTAGGGAACGCATAAAACTTGGAATTTTCTTTAACTTTTTTTGATAACAGCCAGTGGATATACAGAGTGAATCTCGCTAACGGGGGCACACACAGCAACAAAAACCTGACAGGTGTTCTAAACCCACTCCACCCAAAACTGTTGTTTATGACTATTGCTAGTAAATGCAATTAAAAAGCGCTTTCTTTTTAAAGATGCTTGATTCCTGGTCTCTCCAGTGCTCCTTGCTAACAAAGCTGAGTAACAGTGCTCTGTGCTGGCATAGCTGAGTAACAGCCACACCCTTCAGTACAAGGTTCCTCACTGGCTTGTATTTCAGAGAAGGGGAGGGGGTATGTTAACTTGATCCTATTGCTGAATGCCAATTGGAGTGCAATATGCTGTAAACAAACATTGCTAAGGCCCAAGGCATATATGCCAGCTTTCTGGAAGAAAGATCATCCCATTCTCTGGCACCCCCCCCCCCCCCCTTCATACCATCGCTTCTTTTTGGTTTGCCAAGGTTAGAGAGATCATGGACACTGAGGACTTTAGTACTCTTCGAATTCAATCTACACTACTCAAAAAAATTAAAGGAACACTGTTTAATCAGAGTATAGCATGAAGTCAATGAAACTCCTGGGATATTGATCTGGTTGGTGAAGTAGCACAGGGGGGGGGTTGTTGTTCAGTATCAGCTGCTTTGGCGTTAATGAAATTAACAGGTGCACTAGATCGGGCAACAATGAGATGACCCTCAAAACAGGAATGGCTTTACAGGTGGAGGCCACTGACCTTCTTCCTTTTTTTTTTTTTTTTTTTTTTTTTTTTTTTTTTCACTGGTTTTGCATTTGACTAGGGTCAGTGTCACTACTGGTAGCATGGATAGATACTTGGACTCTACAGAGGTTGTACAGGCAGTCCAACTCCTCCAGGACGGCACATCAATACGTGTCATTGCCAGAAGGTTTGCTGTGTCTCCCAGCACAGTCTCAAGAGCACGAAGGAGATTCCAGGAGACAGGCAATTACTCTAGGAGAGCTGGATAGGGCTGTAGAAGATCCTTAACCAATCAACAGGATCGGTCTCTGCTCCTTTTTGTGCAAGGAGGAACAGGATGAGCGCTGCCAGAGCCCTACAAAATGACCTACAGCAGGCCACTGGTGTGAATGTCTCTGACCAAACAATCAGAAACAGACTTCATGCGGGTGGCCTAAAGTCCCGATGTCCTCTAGTAGGCCCAGTGCTCACTGCCCAGTAACACAGAGCTCGATTTTGAACACCAGAATTGGCAGGTTCGTCACTGGCACCCTGTGCTTTTCACAGATGAGAGCAGATGCACCCTGAGCACATGTGACAGACGTGAAAGGGTCTGGAGAAGCCGTGGAGAACATAATGCTGTCTGTAACATCGTTCAGCATGACTTTTTTGGTGGTGGGTCAGTGATGATCTGGGGATGCATATTCATGGAGGACACACAGACCTCTACAAGCTAGACAACGGCACCCTGACTGCCATTAGGTATCGGGATGAAATCCTTGGACCCATTGTCAGACCCTATGCTGATGCAGGCAGTTCCTGGAGGATGAAGGAATTGATACCATTGAATGGGCCCCCACGCTCACATGACCTAAATCCAACAGAACACCTCTGGGATATCATGTTTCAGTCCATCTGACACCGCCAGGTTGCACCTCGGACTGTCCAGGAGCTCAGTGATGCCCTGGTCCAGATCTGGGAGGAAATACTCTAGGACACCATCCGTCTCATTAGGAGCCTGCCCCGACATTGTCAGGCATGCATACAAACACGTGGGGGCCATACAAACTACTGAGGACCATTCTGAGTTGCTGCAATGAAATTGCAGCAAAAGGACTAGCCTTCTGCATCATTTTTTTACTTTAATTTTTGGGTTGTCTTTGAATTCCGTACTCTGTAGGTCGATGATTTTCATTTCCATCAAACAATGGGGCATCCTTACATTCCTAACACATTACCCAGTCCATATCAGTATAGATATCTAATGTGTTTTCCAAGTGTTCCTTTAATTTTCAGTTGAACAGGTGTATTTTGGTTCTACTGAATCGGTTTCACTACTACTCCTTCCATTTGGACTCACCAATTTTAGTATAAAGGAATTCAATTGGATACAGTAAGATTTCAATTAACTAGACACTAGTTATGGGCTGAGATATTGAGGATGAGTGGGGTAACCTGTCTATACTACCCTCTCTATTCTCTTCCCCTTCTTTATGCTTAACCCCTCCCCCTTCCTCAGCCTACAGAACATTACCCTTCTGACATGATGCTACCACTATACCCCATTACAGGGCCCAAATATTCAACTATACCCTTTTTAGATGTAGGCTACCATTACTATGCCTTTGCCTTGTTGCCTCAATATTCTAACCTGGTTGTGTTGGATGATTTACCCAACACTACTTTCTATTCCTGTTATTACCCCTTTGTGATAATCAACCAGTTGATAGTTGCATGGTCATATGTTCAGTGCAGCATGATGATGACTGATCTTGTCAATATTATCTGTTTTATATGTTAGCGATTTCGTTGTGATGTAGTATATGATGAAGCTCTGAACAATTAAATCAATTAAAGCTTACAGTAAAAAAAAGAGCCTCTGGCCCCAGGGCAGCAGCTTCTTTATCTTGAAAGACTCGTTTTTCAGTGTTTGAATTTTAGTGTTTGTGAATTGTTGGCCATCAGCCTCCACTCACGCCTATGGTGAGCATGGGGTCATACCAGTTTGTAGACTCCATGTCCTCTAGCACCGACCTTTCTATATGTCTTCTCAGTCATCCTGGTGATAGGATATCTAGTGGTAAAAAAAAAAAAAAAAAAGAGCAATTCGATTTGCTGGTTATTCTGGAAGAAAACCTGTTCTAGGGCTGCTATGAAAGACTTTCTGGTAAGTTCTCCGATTTTGTTCCTTGTGTCAGTACTTTCATTTGCTGACTTAGAAGGAGCAATGCAGATCAGGGAAGTCAGAACTGGTAATCTACATACTTATTCAGAGTCTGTGATTTTGATAGTTGGGGAACCATTATTGTGAGGATAAGGTCTGGAGAGGCAGCTTTCATACTTTTGTTGTAGGCTTCCTTAAAACCCTATGTCAAGGATATGTGTAGATTTTTTTTTTTTTTTTTTTTTTTTAAGCCTTGATGTATGCTTTAAATGAAAGCACTGGTTTCAGGCTGGAATGTGGCCCTTTGCTAGTACTCGATCTGTCTTTTGGGGCACTGCTGCCCCCACTGACGCCAAAGGGTGGGGGCACTGCTGTTCCTCCTTTTGACCACAGGTACTATTCCCCCCCCCCCCCTTCTTCTTTTTTTTTTTTTTCTCTCTCCTTTACTTCCACTGACCACTAAGCCTGGGACATTGTTACTCCCAGTGGCCAGTTTGGCCCTCCTAAAGTCTGCAAGACCGTAAACTGACCCTTTTTTGTTGAGAGAATTTGGAGACCCCTGCAAAGGACTGCATTCCCAACCACCCCCTGCCAGAGCAGTTTTTTTTTTTTTTTTTTAATCTCATAGGGGACCAATCGGTGGGGAAAGTTAAAGTGATAGATGAAAGTGGCGTAATAGATATTGCTTCTGGGTTCTTGCTAGCTACAGGAGAAGGTGTGATGGCAGATCCAGATAGACATGTTGGGGGGGTTCACGTACGACCTGGAGCACTTTCCGAGGGTTCTTGGAAGCAGCAGTTGGCTTGTGATGTTTACATGCCTGCCTTTTTGTTATGCATGATTCATGTAGAGATATATATTAAAAAAAAAAAAAAAGTTGGGTGGCTCCTAAAATGATCCTTCATTTTGTTTGCAGCATCGATACCCCAGTTTACAAACTCTCCCACGATGATTGTAATGGTTGGACTCCCTGCACGTGGGGAAGACGTACATTTCCAAAAAACTCACTCGCTACCTCAACTGGATTGGAACTCCAACCAAAGGTAAGGGTGAAGGTCCTCTCGCGAGGATCCTTGCTTGTAATGCCAGTGCTGCTTTTTGGCATTGCTGAGTAACCGCCACAGCTCTCTGTACTGTGCTGGCATAGCTGAGTAACAGCCACACTCCTAAGTGCGAGGGCCCTTACATTGTCTTGTATTGCAGAGAAAAAGGGGTATGTTAGTAATTGTTCTCTCAGTGCTTTGGGTTAGAACAGAATATGTAAAAATTGTGAAAACTGTGAAAGTGTTGCGTCTGTGTGCTAATTTGTGCTCTCACCAGCCTGATGCGATCTGACCTTAGACACCTTTTGCTCCTGTAACCCTCCATACATGTAGGGTCGTGGACAGCCTGTCCGAAAAAAAAAATTATTTTAGTAGTTGACACCCAAACCCCCCCACCACCACCCCCTTTCTGATGGCAGGATGGCCCAGATGTTTGAACAAGCCACAGAGGCCACTTAGTGCACACTTCTAACCCTGCACTCCCACTGTAGTTGCAGCAGCTGAAAACACACATTGCGCATGCATAGTGTTTGGACGGGCCAGAGGTACCACGGGGGGCTGCTGGTGGTACCCCCCCCCCCCCCCCCCCCCATGAATTGCCTTGTCTGATGATGAACATGTGCTCTGAACTTGTTCATTCCATGATTCTGCATGATCATATTGCTTTTGAGCTTTTAAGGTTGGATTATAGCAGGTTGCTCAATTTAATTTCCTGTCAGTACAGTCACTGTCTGTCAGTGTGTGTTTCCTTGTTTCACGTTCTTTTCCTCTTCTCACGTGTAGTGTTTAATGTGGGACAGTATCGCCGGGATGCACGCAGAGCTACAAGAGCTACCAGTTCTTCCGTGCTGACAACCAGGAAGCCATGAAAATTCGCAAGTGAGTTAAAAGCTTGCTGACTGGCCTATACAGATATTGCGGGCCAGTGAATCTCCTGCACACATTATGGATCATGTACATATACCCCATTGTAACAAGAACAGCCTGGTGAAACAATATTAAAAAAAAATATATTAACTTAATATTTCTAATGATTTTACCTTTTAAACCAGATTGGTTTTAATCTATATGTTTGACGTAATTTGTCTTTACTTGTATTCATACTAGAGTAACATAATCGCTTTCAATAAGTTGATGCACCTTAATCTTAGTACATTGGTTTTAAAATTTAATATTTTTAATGATATTACTTTTTAACCAGAGTGGTTTTAATTTATATGTTTGACGCATTTGATGTATTTTGCCTTTATCTGTATATTCCTATTGGAGTGCTATAATCGCTGTAAAAAGTCGATGCACCTTAGTATTTTCTAGTTTAATATATTTTTTTAATATTGTTTCACCAGGCTGTTCTTGTTACAATGGGGCATTAAGTATGTTCCATGTGTAATTTCAGCTAATCCACTTGCCCCGTGTTGATTTAGGAATGCAGTATCTTGTTCCCACTAAGATTACTGCTGAACCAACACTTGTATGTCCATAATGTGTTTTGGCTTCTTAAAAATGGCCGCCGCGACCGCTAGTGCGCATGCGCGAACGCGCGACCGCTACTGCGCATGCGCGAACCGGCAATAACGGCGCCGCCGCATTGCGGTGTATTTTGGCGCTTTTTTATGTATAAAAACACTCCTTTTACCACTGGCACAGTCCCTCTGATGATGTGTACTCACACGATACGCGTTAGGGAAGTGCCAAGCTATTTATATCCTGTGTACATGTACCTCTGGTCTGGCCGTTTATGAGCAGCTGAACCGTTGTTAGTAAGTTCTTTTCTGATTATTTACCTACTTTAATAAACGATATCACACTATTTGAGGCCTTTTTCCACGGGCTCTTTATTTCTGGGGAGCCTGTAATTCTGAAGGTCCTGGGGCTGTGCTTAGCAAAGGACACATCTGCAAGTGACATCCCTGGATCCATGACACAGCTCCTCCTGGAACGGATGACATCTAGTGGTCGCCCTATAGATGACATCCGCCTGATCCTCTAATACAGTGGCTGGACTCAGCTTCCATCCGGATAGATGACATCTAGTGGTCACCCTATAGATGACATCTCCTGGCTCCAGTGATACAGTGGCTGAGCACCAGGGGCAGGTCTTAAATGCTCCATGCGCTTTAATATGCGCTATCTGGTTAGTGCATTATTTGGCTATTATCATTTCTGAAAGTCACTACTTTTGGTTCTTTACATATTGGAGACTGTATGCATTTTCAGCACATCTGATGAACTTACACTGACATTTTACTGATCCACTATCATATGTGGTCTATCATATGTTTAATCGCTATTTGGGTTAGCGCTGCACTCTCATTCTTTATCAATTACTTTGGAGGTTCCCGAGGTGCCTTTTTGTGCAAGCAGCTACCGTACTTACACCTATACACTGCGCTCGATTTTATATATAGATTTTATATATAAGTTTATTATATACATGATCTGCATTGCTTAGTAAAAACAGCATTCAGTACACACAGTAAACATTGTAAAGCACACAACCCTCTGATTGCTCTCAAATGTTTAACCCCTTTCCAGCCAGTATCATTAGTACAGCCCCTACCAAAAGTTTTGAGAATGACACAAATATTAATTTTCACAAAGTCTGCTGCTTCATTTTAGTGTTTTTTTTTTTTTCAGATCTTTTTTGTCACATGGTATACTGAAATATAATTGCAAGCATTTCATAAGTGTGAAAGGCTTTTATTGACAATTACATGAAGTTTAAGCAGAGTCAATATTTGCAGTGTTGACCCTTCTTTTTCAAGACCTCTGCAATTCTCCTAGGTATGCTGTTAATCAGCTTCTGTGTCACACATCCTGACTGATAGCAGTCCATTCTTGCATAATCCAATGCTTGGAATTTGTAAGAATTTGTGGGGTTTTAATTTTTTAATTTTTTTTGTACATTCACCTGCCTGTTGAGGATTGACCACCAGTTCTCAATGCGATTAACGTCTGGGGGGGTTTCCAGGCCATGACCCAAAATTTAGCCGTTTTTTGTTCCCCAAGCCACTTATCACTTTTTGCCTTATGGCAAGGAGCTCCATCATGCTGGAAAAGGCATTGTTTATCGCCAAACTGTTCTTGGATGGCTGGGAGAATTTGCTCTCAGAGGATGTTTTTGTACCATTCTTTATTCATGGCTGTGTTCTTAGGAAAAATTGTGAGTGAGCCAACTCCCTTGGCTGAGAAGCAACCCCACACATGAATGGTTTCAGGATGCTTTAGTGTTGGCATGACACAGGACTGATAGTGGCAGACAAGATTTTTTCCAGATGCCCCAAACGATCAGAAAGGGGATTCCTCAGAGAAAAGGACTTTCCCCCCAGTAATCAGCAATCCAATCCTTGTACCTTTTGCAGAATATCAATCTGTCACTATGTTTTTCCTGGAGAGAAGTGGCTTCTTTGCTGCCCTTTTTGACACCAGGCCATCCTCCAGAAGTCCTCAAAGCACCACCCTCCCTTTTTTTAAAGCTTCCAGTCTGTTATTCTAACTCAATCAGCTTGACAGAGTGATCTCCAGCCTTGTCCTCATCAACACTGACACCTGTGTTAACGAGAGAATCACTGACATGTCAGCTGGTACCTTTGTGGCAGAGCTGAAATGCACTGGATTCAGTTCATTTTCATGGCAAAGAGGGACTTTGCAATTCAACTGATCACTCTTTATTCTGGAGTATATACACATTGCCATCATAAAAACTGAGTCAGTAGACTTTATGAAAATTAATATTCGTCATTCTCAAAACATTTGGCCAGGGCTGTACAGTGACTGTGTATATTATTAGCACTGATTAGTGTATTGGCGTCAGTGTCAGATCTGTCCACCCCACTATCACGGTCCCACTATAATTTGCTGATCACAGCCATTGGTAGTATTTAAAAAAATATATACATTTTTTTGTGTGTGTACGCGCCATAGTTTTGTAGGTGCTCTAACATTCATGCAAACTGATCAATATACACTTGGGCTTTTTTTTCTTTTTTTTTTTCCCCCGAACCAAAGACCTGTAGCAGAAAACATTTTGACCAAAATTTATAGAGCAATTTTTTTTTTTTTTTTTAATTGGAAATGTTTTATAATGGTAAAGTTGAGTTTTTTTTGTTTTTCAAAATTATGGCACGTGTTTTAGTTTATATAATAAAAAAATAAACCCAGTGGTGATCAATAACCACCAAAAGAAAGATCTTTGTGGTAAAAAAAATTACCAGTTAAAGTAGTACAGTGCTAAATGGCAAAAAATGGCCTAGTCACGGTGAACCACTTGACAACTGGGCTATAGCTGAATGATGGCTACAGCGTGGTTGTCCAGTTGTGGGAGGGCGTCATATGACGTCCTCCCAGAACGCTCCCTTCTGTGTGCCCCCAGCGGCATGCATCCGGCGATCTCTGTGTTCTACAGACATGGCTGATCACGTGATATGGTAATGGTAAAAGGCCAATTACAGCGGCCTTTTACCATGTGATCAGCTGTGTCCAATGACACAGCATATCAGCCGGTAAATGCAGTTGCTGTCTGTTGGCTGCACTTTCCTCATGGTCACAGTGTGAGGAAAGTACTGCTGAGAACCGTCGATTGTCAGAAAAGAGATCGGCACTGATCATTGGAGCCCCTTGTCAGTGCCCATCATTGCTGCATATCAGTGCAGCATCAGTGAAGGAGAAAAATTACCTGTTTTGCAAAATTTTATAATAGAAACAGAGAAAAACTTTTTTTTTTTTTTTTTTTATAGCGCAAGAAATAAAACCCTCAGAGGTGATTAAATACCACCAAAAGAAAACTCTATTTGTGTGAAAAAAAATGATAAAAATTTCATATGGGTACAGTGTTGCATGACCGCACAATTGTCATTCAAAGTGCGACAGCTCTGAAAGCTGAAAAATGGCCTGGGCAGGAAGGGGGTATAAGTGCCCGATAGACAAGTGGTTAAAGACCTGCCTGATTGTGCTAAATTATACATTTCAGTTACGAGCATTTTAATTCATAATCTGAGATTCCCCAGATGTAAAATTTTTCCAACTTTACGGATTTAACTTCATGTTAAAAACGTAACACATTTATGCGATGTCAGGAATAGTGTCTCACACTCTCTGCATTAACAAAACTCCCCACTACTTGTTCTAACCCCCCCCAAAATAAAAAATCAATCTGACTACTTCAAGACATAGCAGTACAGGAGGGGGGGGTCTCTGTGCTTTTTTTTTTTTTTTTATTTCTTTCTCTATATGGGGGCACTATTAGACATTCACTGCATGAATGTCAGATACCTTTGTGGAAGCTAAACAAAATGTCGGTATGTTTTTCTATGTTTGTAGCCAAAATGCAGTATGTTTGTTTGTTTTTTTTTTTTTTTTTTCTCGTTACTGTATTTTGGCTACTGGATGAATCATGAATTAGGCTAGTTCTAAAACCTATGGTGAATTTTCATTAAGCGTGCACACATTTTTTTTTTTAAAATGGATCCTATAGTGTTAACATTTTTAAATTTAAAAAAAAAAAAAAAAAAATCTGAATCTATCCTCCTAGCTTTGTAGATTCCTTTTTATTAAACTTATGTCTTTGCCTTGCAGGCAGTGTGCACTCAATGCTCTTAAGGATGTCCACACTTACCTGTCACGAGAGGATGGACACGTTGCAGTAAGTTCTAATATCTCAAATCTAGATTTAATCCTGATATGTCATATTTTCCTGCTCTGCAAAAAATTAGAGCCTTGTGTAAGCCTATTTTCTAACAAACGTCACAAATATACTGTAGATTTTTAGAAAAAAAAAAGCCTTTAAATATAAAAGGAAAAGCAGGGCATTATGTAAATGGAAGGTTCCTGGGAAGGGGGGGGGGGGGGGGTCCAGCATCTGAGCAGAATTAATGTATGCGTGCCCTCCCCGTCTTCATGTCGTGCTGATTAGAAGAAAGCTCTTTTGTTACTAGGACTGGCAGAAAAAAAGCAGAAAGCCTGATTATTCGCTAGTGACTAATAGATTTTGCTGTTACAGTTGGGTTTTCAGAGGGTGTTTAATCAGATCTGTAATAATCCAGCTGTTTGGAGAAGGTCTTTTGTCTAACTTAATTTTTTTCAATAATGCTGTATAGCAGGCAGAGACCGATTTACATCTAGTCCTGAGCCTAGAGGCTGCAGAGGCAAAGAAGCCAGTTGTCTGCAACACTTGTGTGCCAGGCTGATTTATTTGGAAGCCACTCAAAATTTTACAAATGGGCGACAATCTACAAAATGAAAGTCCAAAGTACCTTTAAAGAAGTATAGTCAAAGCTTTTTTTTTTTTTAATCATGAGCAGTCGTTTCAGTATGCGCTAAGCCGACTAAACAGCAGCTGATTCACTAAAAGGAAAAAACCATGAACCTTCAAATAGACAATGTTTTTTTAGATAAATAGTTTGCAGCGCTAGATGATATATGACTGCACCAGTATTAAAGGTGGGTGCAATATCCCTTTAATCTAATGTCAAATAGTGTAGGCCACATCATATTGTATGGACCTTCCCAAGAAGTACAAAAAAGGATTTTTGTAATGACGTGTACTCCAAACGGCTTCACTTCACAATAATACCCCCCCCACAACTTTTATCGAATGCACCACCCATATCAAAAGATAGTCCAATAATTTCTAGTAATCATCCTTTATTCCAAAAAAGCACAGATAGATGTATCTTGATAAGATCCTTGTGACAATATAGTCCGGCGTTGTCAGAAAAAATGACAATAAATTGCGCACTCACCGGAAGCACAATTAAATTCAGCGCCTTTTATTGTTCATAATACACCAAGGATCACTCCGGCTGTAGATGGAAGGAAGCTCTGAACAGGGTGATTCTGTGAACCTTTAATACTGGTGCAGTCATATCATCATCTAGCGCTGCACTATTTATCTTATAAAAGCTTTTTTTTGGCTGTACTTCTCCTATGGATCATAGGAGTGCAGTTCGTTCTGCACTCCTGTGACCTGTTTTTAGCCGACAGCAGACTAAATCCAGCCTGTTGGCTGATGTTCAAGCCGGTCCAGGCTCTGAAAAGATCCTGACCATATTTCTGGGCTACGCTCACAAGCCTGGACCGCAGCTAGCTCCTGCCCCTTCCACAGGGTTGCGCTTGAGCACAGAGCAAGAGACTTGAGTCACCTGCTCTCTGCTCACTGTAGACCAAGAACAGGGTGATCAGCGGTGCTTGATCACTCAGCTCTCAGTGCAGAGCCAGCAGGGGACTGATGCAGCATCACATCAATGCTGGAACCACCTAGGCGAGTACAAAATTAATGATTTGATATATATAATCTCCCAAAATTGTATTTAAAAGCAGACCTCTGGGCAAATTATAACCCCCCCCTCCATACTTTTAATCGCTTGTAGTACCAGTTCCCATCCAGATCAAACATTGATCCATTTAAAGGCAGTTTTACTTTAGTCCATTCAGGTCCTTTATTCCATTTTATTTAGCACTGATGAAGGGCGAGTTTTGTTGCCCTTGAAATGTGTTGAATGTTTTGTGACAGTATTGGTATTACGAAACAATTAAAGGCACTCTGAATTCTCCCATGTGGTTTGGAACCCGTTTGTAGAGTTCAGTGCCTTTTAATTGTTCATAATATCAATCACACAGAAACCGCCAGGGGTAATAACCCCCCCCCTTTACCAGGTCTCGGGCTAATGGAATAGGAGCTGGAATTACCTCAAAGGACACTAGAACCAAAGGGATCAATGTCTGATGTAATCCGCAGCGGTTCCCATCCATCACTCTGATAAATGGGCAGTTTTGTTGCCCCTGAAATACAGTGGAAGTTTTATGTGATGGTATTGGTATCACAAACCATTTAAAGGCCTTTTGGACTATCTCACTTTGTGGCTAGGCACCCATTTGTAGAGTCCAAAGTGACTTTTAGATGTTCAAAATACCATTCACATAATAAAGGCAAATAGGTTTTGGGGGAAATAAAACTTCCCTTCGTTGGGGCTTGGAAAAACTGAATAAGTGCTAGAATGACCTCCAAAGAAACTAGAACAACACGGCTGTCTGGTGCAAAACCTTTGAATTGGACTTATATCACATAAAAACAGCCAACGTGTTTCAGGGGTAATTAACCTTCCCCATTGTCGGGGCTTGGACAGATAGAATTAGGTTCATATGGCCCTAGTTTTCTTTGATGCTATTCAAATCTTATGTCTTATCAAAACCTCCTGTTGGATATAATCAGCAGTGGTCCTTGTTCCCATCCAAACTAAGTTTTTGCACCAGATCAGTCATTTGACTGTATTTTCCTTTTGAGTCCATTCTAGTCCTTAATTTCTCTAAGCCCTGATAAAGGGGGACGTGTGTCTGTATCATTGGAATAAGCATTGAAATCCCAGCACCTCCTGTTGTGTTTATTTACTTATATTTTTGAGGGATCAGGAAGGATTTTATTTTTCTCCTGATGGAGCAATTGGACCATGTTTTTTTTTTATAGGTGTTTTTTTTTTTTTTTTTTTTTTTTATATGCCACCTTCTGGATCAACTGTGTATATAGGATTCTCTCTATGGAGGTTTTCTTTTAATTAATTTTTTCAATTGGTTGAACTAGACGGGCTTGTCTTCGCTAGGTTGGAAAAACACACCACACAAATTATGTATGACCATATAATTGGCCTCCATAGTTAGTGATACTAAACACACACTGTTTAATTAATATTATTCCCTTTTCTGTATGTGGATGATGACACTGATTATTTTATGTTTCAATATTTTTATTAAATTTTTCAGGGAAAAGAAGAAAAAGGGAATGAGACATTGTTCATACATACCATAATACAATAAAATAAAACATTGTACATTTGAGCAGTGTAGTTGTTGTTCCGCTCTTTAGGCAATGATGAAGTTGGTCTCATTTAGCGTTATCATCAGAGGTATTTATATATGTATGAAGAACTTTGGTGAGGGGTTGGGATGTTAGAGGGGTTATTGGTAGGGGAGATGGAGGAGAGGGGGGGGGGGTGAAAGGTATAACTAGGTGGAGAAGGATGTACCAGTTAGGAGGTGTTTTTAAATGTTGAGTGTTATCAGGGTTGTACAGAGCATTTTGGGTGACTTAACCATCAGGTCCTTTTGTGGTTGAATTTAAGGAGGGAGGAGGTGTTGATTGCAAATTTTTTCTCCATTTCGCATTGGAAGTTGAGGTCGACACTGATTATTTTAATAAAGAAAAGAGTACCTTTTCCCTAATCAATATACAGCTGTCACATGACCCAGCTTATCTGCAGTACAACATAAGCAGGAGAAGCTTCTTGTCCTCTGTTGCGGGTCACAAGTTTAGCCCCTTCATGTTGGCGCCTTCCGGCCCTTTAAGGGGTTTCTGACTCCGGGGCAGGGTTTAGGGTCATATGTTTGGCTGTCACGGCAGTCACATGATTGGAAAGGTCTCGATCGGGACTTTTCTGTGGGACACCAACACATGCTGGGAGGACGTAGGGCGTGTGCTCTCAGCACATGTTTGTTTACAAATGGTACGCAAATATGCGGCTGCTCGGCGCCGCATATTTGCGTACCGTCGGCGTGAGGTTGGAAAAAAAAAACCCAATAAAATAAGAGTAAAAATATTAATAAACTGTTTATAAATGGTAAACCTATATTTGAAATCAAATCGTTGTTTTTTGGCAGTAACATGGTGTGGGTGGATTTGTGCCAATCACAGGCTGCATCATTCACCTCTAGCCTGTGTGTCTTAGAATAACAGGGAGCTGAAGCCTCCATCAATCAAGATGTAATTGTGTTTAGCTTAGCCTTGAGGTTTCCTCAGGGGTGCCTTGGGAAAATGTCTAAAAATTGCCCAAAACTTGTATACAAGCCAGTGGGTGAAACAAGCCTGCCTTCTAGTTACACAAAGGCACAGGTTTTCATTGAACACCATTACGATCTTCTAGCCTTCAGCATCCTGACAACCAATGACCTCATCAGTTGATAAGGAGGATGTCAGCTGTCTGCACACCATCCTAGTTTGACCCTCCCCTGCCCCTCTCTGTCACTGGGGGGTTGCATTAGCTCAGTGAGTGAGAAGAAAAACATTGGAATACTAGTCAGTACCAGTGTGCAAAAGTGTATTGGCTTTGGAAGAGTAAATCACCTCTAACGTTGGGTGTCCTGCATATGTGGATGTGTTATATAAAACTATTAGAATAGTTTTTCACATTTTAGAATGGAGTGCCCTTTTAAAATTGTGGACAGTCTTGAGACACCCCATTTTTGAATGGGGTGCCTGAAGACTGTCCATAATTTTAAAGGGTGCCTTGACTGAAAAAAGCTTGAGAAACACTGGTTCAGCTGGTTAGTGGGGATGGAGGAGGGAGGGAGTGGATTGACATTTACTACTGTGTACGCCCACATGTGACTCTCTAGTCACATGGGCTGCTCAGATGTGATGGTGAGGAAATACTCAGCTTAGATCACTGAAAACTGAGCATGTGCACTAGCAGCCAACACTGCTCTGCAAAATCCCCAACTGCATTGGACAGAATGGGGAGATAGAGAACAGCATAATCAATCAGGTTTTTTTGTAGAATACAGAAAACAAATCCCATTGTGAGTGACTGAGTATGAAAAATACGTAATACAGCATTTGATAGGTTGCTTTTTTTTTTTTTTTTACTCATTGATGTGGGTTTAGTGACACTTTAACAGTGTATGTTTCAATTACTGTTAATTGATTGGTTTGTGTGTCTTAGGTATTTGACGCCACCAATACCACTAGAGAGAGGAGGTCTGTGATATTGCAGTTTGCCAAGGAGCGAGGTTACAAGGTAAAGCCTGCCTGAACAATCACAAGCAACTTCCATGCCATTTTTCATTTCTCCAAAAGATCCTCCTATACCAAGGGATTCTACTCCTATACCACTACCCCTGACATGAACGTTGTCAGGCTTGTGTAGACAGGCTTCAGACTAGTCTAGTCTGAGTCAGACCTCTGTGTATCCACCAAGGGTGGGGGTGCTTGCCATCCATTTAAGCACTACTGCTTTACTTGCTGCAAAAGGTGCTCTAACTAGTGGGGAGGTACAGGAATACATCAAGAACCAATTTAAGGTAACTTTGTCCCATTTAATGGACTAATTTTAGGTGTCTCCATAATAAATGAAGCTCCTTGATTGGAGACGCATTTAATTAAACATTCTGGGGTTTGATATAACCCCTGGATAAACTATAGTTGGTTTAGTCTGGCTGAAAGAGAAACCTGTGTTCGAACCTGAAAACCATCATGTGGGATATGTCTCAATATCAAGTTCTCAGCCCTGTCTGCACCTCTATGGAAACCAGTTCATGAATTTGGTCAACTGAGAATATAATGACGGGAATTTAATGTTCTTAACTAGACCATCCTTTGCTCAAGGGGTTGGTTTAAATAGTTTTAAACCCTTACATATACCCAGTGAAGTGCTACAGAGATTAAACAAATTCTCCTACAGCGCTCTCTTCTCAACATCCTTCTAAAACACACAGATCAAAGGCTATTTCTCAGCAGTAGAAGTCAGCAGGTGGGGATCTGACATCACGTACTGCACAGCAAGTTCTGACCGTCTTTTTAAACAAACTGCTAGCAGGCTTCAGGAAGCTTCAGCATTACAAACTTGTTGAAAGCCTGCTGAAGCCTGTTAGCAGCTTGTCTAAAGTGGCCGTCCTATTAAGATTTTGGATTAACATTCTCATACTGGATCTGAATTGCACTTTTGAATGTTTCAACAAAGTTTGCTGAAAGCTGTGAAAGTTCCTTGCAAAAAGCCGGCTGCGCTTATACATGCTGAAGCCCATGTTAACAAACCCTAAGGGCTTGTTCACACTTGCTTTGTTCCCTGACAAGTGATCTGCATTCAGATCACACTTCAGAGAGCATTTGAAAAGCAGTGAGGGGCGTAGTTTTGCTTCCTTTTTGTGCTTGCTTTAACCCCTTGAAGCCTGCACTAGTACGCCACAACAGAGTGCATTGCATGTGGCTGCAGGGTGCTTGCAGAGTGGCCCATTCAGTCAAATGAGTCGCGCTTGGAGGGAGCTGCACTGGCCACAAAAGCATCATGGCCTTGGCATGCGTACTCTCCTGTCTGCTGCCTCTGCAGCTAAAGGGGGAGCTGTTGAGGAGCGGTAAAAATTTTGACTTAACATGGAGTTTTGTTGCTCCTCAACTGCTAGTGTAAACGAGCCCTAAGGGGTTTTCTATCCTGTCGTGCCCCCCATGTCCTATACATACGAATGAGACCATGTCATGGACAGTTGTCACTAAGTAGGTGTATATGCTATTGTCCTTAGTAGGTCTGAGGCCCTTTATCCCAAGTTATATTTAAATTTTCTCTCTCTCCATACTTTAAGGTGTTCTTCATTGAGTCAATCTGTGATGATCCAGATATCATTGCTGAAAACATCACTGTAAGTTATTAAGCTGGGAAAATTGGGTATACATGCTGCTAGAAGCCTATAATCAGCTATCATCTGTGTCTTTGTTACCTAGCAAGTGAAGCTATCCAGCCCAGACTACATAGGCTGTGATCGGGAAAAGGTGGTGGAGGACTTTCTGAAGAGGATTGAATGTTATCAAATGAATTATGAGCCATTGCATGATGACCTGGACAGGTATGTCCTAAGAAGCCCTTCTGTCATGCTTGCTGTGGTTAAAATTGATCCAAATGATTGCCTTTGTGCAAGATTGAAATCTTAAATATGGACTTGTAGAACGCATAATGCCTAAATTGCCTTTACCGAATGGAAGAAAAAGTGTGTGTGTTTTTAAACCTATTAGTATTTTTTTTTTTCCTCTTTGAGGGTGCACACGAGTGTCTTGGGGTCTTACCACTCTATGGCCAAGTGTATGTGGACACACTTCCCTTTTAAGCTTACATGTTTCCAGTGATGGGAATGATTGCTGCCACAGTATTTTAGACAATTGTGCATTTCCAATTTTGTGGTAACAATTTGGGGAAGGCCCTTTCTGTTCTAGCATTACTGTGCTTCAAGCCAACTCCATAAATCGGGGGTCAGCATCCTGTAGATCGTGGTGGGTCAGCAAGGCCAGGCTGCGATCTACCAATGCAGATGGACTACTTGTAGTCGGAGCTGTAGTAGGTAGCAAGAGCTGCGTAAGCCGATGCCTCCTCTAGTGCTGGATCTTGTCCCATGCAGAGTGATATCAACTGCACTCCACCTCTTATCCCAGCTAGCTGTCTCCAGAGTGGTGCCAGCAGCAGGAAAGAAGAGATCTTCATGTCAATGTGAATATACTGGGCATAATAATGTAGAGCTGCTTTCACTCTGATGTGCTGCGGTTTACCCTCAGTGTGTGTGTTTGTGTTTTTTTTTATACTAGTAATGGCGATCAGCGAGACCGCGGCGGGTATTCTGACACTGGATGGGAACTGACTGACATCCCCAGTGACACTAATAGTTATCAGTGCTAATAAAAAGCACTGATACTGTACTAATGGCACTGGGCAGGCAGAGGTTAACATCTAAGGCGATCAAAGGGTTAACAGTGTGCTGTGTGTGGTTTACATTGTGTGCTCTGTGTGTGTGTGTTTTTTTTTTTTTTCTTGGGAGATATGCTGCTTTGTATCTCTTTCTGCTTTGCAGCGAGATACAAAGCAGCATGTCCATGCTGACAGGAGAGAGATCTGTGTTTTATACACAGGTCTCTTCCCTGTCAGCTTTGCCAATGATCAAACCTTTTTAGTTTGCTGCTTGTCTAAGGTATTCTGCTCTGCAGTGGATTTTCATGGTTTGTTTCTATGTACCAGTAACATGACTTATGACAGCAACCAAACTTGGAAGACTTTAAAGGGTGACTATAATGGTTTAGGGTCCTTTTTTTTTCCATTTAAAATTTATTTTAGTTCTTTAAAATGTTAAGTATTTGATGTCCTTATTTCCTTTTTTCATATTTTACGTTTCTTGCAGCTCTCTGTCTTATATTAAGATTTTTAATGTTGGGAGCCGCTATCTGGTGAATAGAGTGCAGGATCACATTCAAAGCCGGGCGGTTTACTACCTGATGAATATCCACGTAACGCCACGCTCCATCTACCTATCCCGCCATGGGGAGAGTGAGCTCAATCTTCTGGGAAGGATTGGTGGGGACTCTGGACTGTCTGTACGAGGAAAAAAACAGGTAAGAAGTACAATTTTATACAGTAAGGTACAGTGAATGTCTCCTAAACTTGCACTGTTTGGGAGATGTTCACACGGGATGCAGCCAGTGGCGTCACCGGTGCATACGCTTTGAAGGAATGACATACCTGTGGCGTACCTTCAGAGCTCTGTGCCATGGCTCCTGCACGCATGCGCAGGAGTCATGTCATCACGGCTCGCTTATTCATACAGCCGAAGCACGCAAACCTGGAAAGGAAGACCAGATGAAGATGGAAGCCCTGTCGGCAGTGACAGCGTGCCGCTGGAGGGCTTCATTTTAGGGTAAGTATGCCATAATGTGCTAGTATGCGGTGCATACTAGATTTTCCTCTTGTTCTGCTAAATGACAACCCAAATTAGGTATTTTCTTTCTATTTTACTCTCATTGATAATGATAAACAAGATAAATAGAGAGGGTGGACGCTCCAATAGAGGTAGAGGCAGAAAAAAAAAAACCTGACGGGTTTTAATCCATCTCCACACTATCTGAAACAAAAAGAGATTTTTGCCTTTGTTGTACATTTTCTGCAACTGATCAGCCTGCAAGTATATTTTCACCCTCAATATATATATTTTTTTTCTTCTCATAATGGTATTTTGAGTCATAACTGAAATGTAAATGGGTGGCATACAGGGAGCCTACCTGCTGCAATTGGTTTTCATCCAGACATTGGTGTAGTACAGTGGTCTCCAAATGAGCCTGTGGGCCTAGCCTTTATCCTTCCACTGACACCAATGACGGGGCACTATTCCTTCCACTGACACCAATGACGGGGCACTATTCCTTCCACTGACACCAATGACTGGGCACTATTCCTTCCACTGACACCAATGATGGGGGGCACTGTTCCTTCTGACTAAAGGCGCTTGCTCTCGCTGACTACCAAGTCTGAGGCATTGTTTATTCCCACAGAATCTGTGACATTCTATCCCCACTGGCCACAATCCGGCCATCGTAAGGTCTGAAGGACAGCAAACAATTCTTTTTAAAAGGTTTGGACATCCCTTGTGTAGTGCTTCAGTCTACCCCACTTCCTTCTGTACTCTGACTCTTAAACTGGCGTGCTGGTGACACCGGAGCACTCTGTATAACTCAGTGATTTTCTATCCAGATTTTGATGTTTTTATAAAACCAATAAACGATCACTCCTAGAACATTGGAATACTCTCTTGCTGCCGAACACAAAAAAGTTGATATTAAAAAGATTCCACCATGTCTTGGAGTTTGTATGTCATTCATGAAGTACACTGCAATGGCACAGTTCCTGTGTTTACTGGGTGGTTTTAGTAGCTTGTTGGACACTTTTTCACTTGTTGCTTGGGATTACCCTTTAGAGCTTAACACTGGACTGTAGAAAACAAATACCTTGGCGTGGAAGGGGGGGGGGGAGCACTCATGGTGCAAGGGTAACATGCTCATGACGTCTAGGGGAGCAGGAATAAGGAGTGATACTTGGCTCATTCCTAGCTAAGCAAGCTTTCTCCATCCATGTGACCAGTCCAGTGCTGCCATCTCTAAGGCGCTCTCGGCCATGGACATATGCTCGCCTCGTCCATGTACAATGCAGGGTTAATAGCCCTACATTGTACTTGATGAAGCCAAAAGACAGCCCAGAACACCAGGGACAGGATGACCATGTGCAAATTGACTGGAATTGGAAGTATAGTAAGTAACAAAGCCTTCTGAAACCTCTAGAAATGTGCATTTAACCCTTGTGGTGGTGGGGAGAGCACTACAGGGTTGATTTTGTTATTACTATCACGGAATTCAGCTTAGGGTGCTATTTGTTGGGTAAAGTACAGAATCTAGCTTGTACTGGCTTGACCAATTGCTGATTTTTGATGGGTTCCAGGCATATGCACAAGAACTCTTTAATGCAGAAGACTGTTTTATGTAGCGTTGCCTCCTGACATAGCTGTGTGCATTACTGGGTGGTACAGCAGCTGTTCACCTGAAGCAGATGCACGTAGATGGACAGCTCTGTTAAGTGCATGAATGCATGCTTTCTTGTGTCCTGCCGCCCTAAGTTTTTTGTCCAACACAAGATGAAAAAAACCTAGCTGGCACCTGCACTATGGCTCATTGAACTGCATTGTACCAGTTCTTTAACACATTCCTGCCTGGCCTATAGCAGATTGAAGGCCAAGTGGGACACTCCTTCTGAGTGGGTGTCATATGACGTCCTGTCAGAAGGTGCCGCTCACGGGGCTGCGCAGCGGCACAATGTGTCACTGGCTGTGTCCACAGGACACCAGCCTGTAGCCAGTGTCATGTGACCGCTATGACCAATCACAGCAAATCACATGACAATTGTTTCTCTATTTATCTTGCTACGTAACTGGAGCCCCAAAAAGCTTGTATATTTTGCATGAAGGCAATCCTTACAGACCTTAAAAGCTTGCTTTTTTTTTTTTTTTCTCCCCCAAACACATGGCTACTGTGAAGCTTTTAATTCTCGGCTGTGATCTCTCTGTTCCTCTTGTGTAGCTGGTGCTAACATTGGGCTTAGACCTCGTTTGCGGAATCTCTCTTCTTGACCATCTGATTTGTCTATTGCAGTTTGCTCACAATTTTTTCTTATTGATCTCTTGCAGTATGCTCATGCACTGGGAAACTTCATTAAGTCTCAGCAGATCCCAGACCTGAAGGTTTGGACCAGTCATATGAAGCGTACCATCCAGACAGCAGAAGCATTGCACGTCCCGTATGAGCAGTGGAAGGCGCTGAATGAGATAGATGCGGTAAGTGGTATTGATGGTCTTTGTGTGTAGACTCATTACTATATAATGCCTTCCCATGACCCTAAACCTTGTTTAACCTCCTCCCGCCCGCCATATAGTAATATGACAGGCGCAAGGTGGTTCTCTCGTTGTGGGACGACGTCATATGACGTCCTCCCATTCTCACTGCGCATGCGCGGCTCAGGGAGCGCGTGGTGCGCTGTGTCCCTAGGACACAGCAGATCACCGATCACGGAAAGAGCCGAAGATGTCGGCTCGGTCATGTGATCAGCTGTGTCCAATCACAGCTGATCACATGTAAACAGGGAAATGCCGGTTATCGGCATTTCTCTCCTCTCGAGCTGTCACGCTGACAGAGGAGAGGAGAGCCGGTAATCAGCTTTCCGCAGAAGGGACATGTACACTGATCATCAGGGCACTGATGATCAGTGTAGCCCCAGCAGTGCCACCACCTGTCAGTGTCCATCAGTGCCTTATGTCAGTGCTCATCAGTGCGTCGTATCAGTGCCACATATCCGTGCCTTCCAGTGCACATCAATGCCACATATCAGTGCCCATCTGAGCTGCCTTTCAGTGCCACCTATCAATGCCAATCAGTGCCGCCTATCAGTGCCTGTCAGTGTCGCCTATTAGTGCCAGTCAGTGCCACCTATCAGTGTCCATCACTGCAGCCTATCAGTGCCCATCACTACAGCCTCATTAGCGCACATCAGTGAAGGAGTAAAATCACTTATTTACAAAATTTTATAACAAAAACTAAGAAACATTTTTTTTTTCAAAATTTTCAGTGGTTTTTGGTTTAAGAAAAAAATAAAAATCCCAGAGGTGATTAAATACCACCAAAATAAAGCTCTATTTGTCACAAAAAAATGATAAAAATTTCATATGGGTACAGTGTTGTTTTTGACCGCGCAATTGTCATTCAAAGTGGGACAGCGCTGGAAATTGGCCTGGGTAGGAAGGGGGTATAAGTGCCCTGTAGGCTAGTGGTTAAAGAAAACTGTTGTAGCAGAGCATTTTCTCTAGGCTCCTTTCACACAGGTGGCCAAGGGGTGGTGACAACAGGCAGTTGATCCCACCTAAAATCTGACGTGGTTCCAGTCAACACATTGGCTGCGGTGTGTCAATTTTTTAACACTACAGGCAAAGTTTGACAGGTAGTGCCACCCATATAAGTGAATATGGCCCTGCTGCAACTGTGAGCCAAACATTCAGATAACAGTTGCGGCACAGTCCTGCAATGTAACAATGCCTGTTGCAACTAAAAAAAAAAAAAAAAAAAAAAAGCAGAGAGATGGTAGTATTACCTCCTGAATGCCTGCTAGCCTCCATTTACCATCCTCTGAAAAGTGATCCACCATGGATTAGCTTTAAAGGGGGCAGAAGACTCTACCGTTAGTGCAAACGGAACCTCATTATCTCCTGTGAAAGTTAACTTCTACATGCATCCCTTCATGTTTTACTGTTCTAACACTAACGGATTACCTCAAACCGTTCTTTCCTCTAGTCTCAGCAGACTCCCTGCTTTGCCAATGCAGGCGGGCGGTCTGCAATGGTTAAGTGACTTAACCCTATGTTGCTGCCTGTTTCAGGCACGTGCCCCTGCCCGTCTACTGATGCTATGATTGTACACAGTGGGAGCCTGTTAGTAAGTTCCAGTCAGTGATTCACGGCTGGGACCTGCTGATCGGCTGTGTCCAATCACAGCCCAGAGCTCTGTTGTCAATCAACACAGAGCTTTGTACCGAGGGAACAACCTCTGTTTCTCATCCCAAAACCAAGATCGGTTGGTAAAAGGCAGCACACTTTTTACACACATTACACATAGGCACACATTTAACCCCTTGATTGCCCTAGATGTTAACCCCTTCCCAGCCAGTGTCCTTAGTACAGCAACCGTTTATAGTGTTATCACTGATCACTGTATTAATGTCAGTGGCAGTTATTGAGTTCCCTCCAGTGTCATTTAGTGACCGTTGCAGTATCGCAGTCCTATTTATAAGTCGCTGATCACCACCATTACTAGTATAAAAAAAATAAAATAAAAAAAAATTCCAGTGTATATATACCATAGTTTAGGGGTAGGCAACCTTTTGAGAGGTGGAGATTTACCTGAACAACATCAGAGATCAAAGATCACTGGGTTTCAGCGCAATATAAAAAAAAAAAAAAATGAACTAGCAAGGCCTATCTAAATAGTAAGGAAAATAAAACAAATGTCACTGTAAAAGTGGACGGCGTTATATATTTTTTATTATTAGAGCACATGGAGGGGGAAACAAGAGGAACAAGGGCAAGAGGGGAAGCAGGGAAGGCACTTACTAGAACTGATCCCCTGGATTTTCCTCCTGTAGCTGCTGTATGCTGGTGGGAGGAGAAGATGCTAGCTTTCAGCTGCTGCAGGAGGAAAATAAAGGGGATCGTCAGACAGGTATTTTAAAAATCTAAATTTCCAGCAAGTGGCTGGGATTCCGAATTCACCCCCCTACCCTGTGCCCTAAGGCAGCTGCCTATGCAGGGTGCCAGCATAAGGATGCTTAGGCAGCTGTCCGAGGGCACCAGTGTGGTGGTGGTGGGTATGGTACAATCCAAATCACCAGCCAGCTACTGGGAATTCAGATTTTTAAAATGTACTTGGGAGAGGGAAGGTGGGAGGGGGGGGGGGGGGGGGGGTGTTGGGCTTTAAAGGACACTGCTGGGGGGGGTCAGAGGTCACTGCTATGGGGGAAAGGGGGGTGGGGTGATGTGAAGGGGCGAAGGACACTACAGTAGGGGTGGTCCTGCCAATAGCAGTGTTCTCTGCACATCAACCCTCTAGGCTGCCCCCCCCAGTAGTGTCTTATGCTCTGCACCCCCAATAACATTTTATTTTACTTGATGCATTTCAAGGGAGGTGAACAGAATAGATGAGTGCTGATAACCAACCTATGTGCAACAGTGATGTTTGTAGCAAGCAGGATGTACAGTGGTAGCTGTACTGTCCTGCAGAATTACGTTGGCACTTTAAAGCTGATAGAAACCGCCTGCATATCACTTCAAGGCTGGAGTAAAGACTTAATTAGAAATATTAATCCAATTAAATGAATGCGCTTGGAGGTGGTCATTAAAGTGTTTGTAAAGACCAAACTTTTTTTTTTAACATTTTTAGATAAGAGTAGGGAAGGGTTAAATCCCCTGTCCGTTTAATGCATTCTGCATCCCATAGGAGTTTTTTTTGCCCTCTTGTTCTGTAGATGTAACGGGAAGTAAAAAAAAAAAAAAACAAGATGGGAACTTTTACCCCCTTCCTGCCCAGGCCAATATTCAGCTGTTGCACGACAATTGCGCAGCCATGCAATACTGTACCCATATGAAATTTGTATAATTTTTTTCACACAAATACTGTAGAGCTTTCTTTTGGTGGTATATAATCACCACTGGGTGTTTTTTTTTTTTTTTTTTTTTTTTTTTTTCACACTATAAATAAAAAAAGATAGACTATTTTGAAGAAAATAGTTTTTTTTTTTTTTTTCCTTTCTTCTCTTTCATTGATGTGCGTTGATGAGGCAGCACTGATGAACACTAATAGGCAGCACTTACTGGTGGTACTTTTGGGCCTGCACTGATCATCAGTGCCCTGATTATCAGTGTAAATGAATCCTTTCACAGTTGACAGTTATCAGCAGTACTTTCCTCACTCTGTGACAGCATAAGGAAAGTACTGCCGATAACCGGCACGCATCGCCCACTCTCCGCCTGCATCGCCCACCTCCTGAACGACCTCAGACTGGATGTCGCTCCATTTCCTCAAATTAAACCTGTCCAAAAAGTTTGCCCACCCCTGAGCTAGACTCATCCACCTCACCAACCGCTCCACATCTGCCATCCCCCTCTGCCAATCCCTTCACTGGCTCCCGATTGCCCAGCACATCAAATTCAAATTGCTAACTCTGACCTATAAAGCCATTCACAACGCCGCCCCAAACTACATAACCGACCTGATACCCAAATACCACCCTATCCGTGCCCTTCGCTCCTCACAGGACCTCCTACTCTCTAGCTCCCTGGTCTCCTCCTCCCACGCCCGATTGCAGGACTTCTCCAGGACCTCCCCCATCCTCTGGAACTCCCTACCGCAATCCATCAGACTCACCTACCCTCCTCACCTTCAGGCGCACCCTGAAAACACATCTCTTCAGGGAAGCCTACCCCACCCTCACCTAACAACTGATCTCCTCCACTTCTCCCACCACTCCATCCCCCACAGCCACTTCCTCCTGTACCACTTTCCCCTCCCTCCTAGATTGTAAGCTTGAAAGAGCAGGGCCCTCGAACCCCTCGTGTATTGTATTGTTACCGTCTTGTCTCATGTTCTGTCCCCCTTGCTACTGTACAGCGCTGAGCAAACCCTTTGGCGCTATATAAATACTGTATAATAATAGTGTATTTACATGGTGATCAGTTGTGATTGGACACAGCTGATCATGTGTTAAAAGGCTGCTGTAATTGGCCCATTTACCATGTCATGTGATCAGCTGTGTCCAAAGGACATAACGAACAGACCGTGCCGGGTATGCATGTTCTCGGAGGACGTTCTGACTCCCTCCCAGAACTGGATGACTGCTGTAGCCGTCTTTCTGCTATAGCGCGGTCAAGAAGTGATTAAAAAAGGTTATGGGGTATTTACCGCTTGGATAATTGACAGTTGTCAGCAAAGCAGTTTGAAAGATTTAATCTCAACCTTTTTTGTTCTGGTGACATCTCCTAAAGTTAAGGATTGCTTCTCCCTTTCTAGGGCAATGGTCAGAAGCACAAAAATAGAGGTAAATCTACCCAGCAGCAGCACAATAGACAGTGGTCATCTATTGCAAATAGTCTATCCATCCACAAAACAAGTTTTGCCTTTTACATATACTTTTTTAAAGTGTTACTAAACCCAGGACCCTGCATTCACTATATCTGGTCTCCCATGGTACATCGAACATGGAAATGCAATTATGTTCATAAATATGAATTGCTAAATACGTTTTTGTTTTTTTTTTATCAGCAGTATATAGCAGTCCTATTACTTCTATCAGTGTCCAGCTGAGTACTGGCTAAAGTTTGTAGGATGAGTTTTAATTCTCCTGACTGTCCTATGAGGCTGTCTAACTCCTGACCGTTTGTCTGTACAGTGCTGATTGGCCCTGTGCTAATCACATGCACCCTACCAAAAACAAAAAAAAAACAACCTCCTCTAGCAATACACACTAAAATGAGCATGTGCAGAGTGACTCAGAGCTCTGTACCATTAACAGATAGATTGGGGACAGTGCAAGAAGGGGAAGATAAGACAGGATCAAACAGCCTTTTTACACAATGCGGAGGATTAAACTCTTAGGTTCCTCCAGTGAGTATAACAAGCATGCTTCACTGCATATACAGACTGATTTTTACTGTTTGTGGGTTTAGCATCATTTTAATGATTACAGTCTTCTTATTGTTAGTCCTCAGAAGTAGCTGTGCATATACAGACCATCTCAAAGTCTCTCAGTCTGGGAGAGGAGGGGAGTATGTGGGTTCTATCTTATGCATATTCAAAGATTAGGCCTGCCGATTATCGACCTTCCTCAGTTCCAAGGTATGGGGAACTAAGAGTGTTTCTGCAAAATCTGGCTGTACTGTAAGAGGAGGACTGGGCTCATTGGTGTTTCTTAAAGCCTTTTGGTGCCTGCTAACCCAGGGAAGCTTAGGGGTTGATTTACTAATACTCGAGAGTGCAAAATCTGGTGCAGCTGTTCATGGTAGCCAATCCGCTTCTAACTTCAACTTGTTCAATTGGGCCTGGTTCACACCTATGCATGATGCAATCTGTTGCAAAGAAGTATCCCTGACCCTATTCAAAAATACAGTGGCTGAAAATGCATAGATGTGAAAGTGTCCTATAGGAAATCATGTTAAATGGACTGCAGTGAGTTTCTGCAAAAGGCACTAAAAAAATGGATAGGTGTGAGCGAATCTTTGCATATAAACCAATCCACTTCCAGGGTTTTTTTTTTTTTTTTTTTGTCTGTTTTTTTTTTTCGTTGTCAGAGCTGCACTAGATTTTGCACTTTTTTTAAATTAAGTTTTAGTAAATCAACCCCTTAGCTTGACCGTTTTAGGAGATTGTGACCTCCTAAAAGTAAACTTGTGCTGCTTAAACCAAATGCTGCATCTGGTCCTGTAGGGTGGAAAGTTAAGCGACAGGAGGGCTTTGCTTGAAGAGGTTAATGCTAGAGAAGAGCATTTAGACAAGTGGACAACTGTGCTTGAGGAGGACACTTCGCTAGGGCAGAGGGCACTTAACAGAGGTGGAGAGCTGTGCTGGAGGAGGGTATTTGAGTATGGTGGAGAGCTTTGCTTGAAGATTGTTGTGCCAAAGAAGAGCACTGAGACCTGATCAAACCCTTCATGTGAAAGGGGTCCATCTGTCAATTTTTCAGGCAGACCTAATCGCCCTATGGCCTGGTGGATGTAAGCAGACTTGTGTCCCTTTTTACACCCTCCTACCACCGGTCCAATTCAGTCCACTAAAAAAAAAACAAAAACCAAAGGGGATCAGTCTCCCTCTGTCTAGGCGGATCTGGTCAGAAGGCAGTCTGGTGTAAACAGGCAGTGGAGTCTGTTTACACCCAACCACCCATAATGCAGAGCGGGTTCAGTCCGTGTCTGCTCTGCAGAGACTGAGCGGACACAAACCTGTTATCCCGCAGGGGATCCATGGACAGATTCCCTGCTGATCAAAACTGGGTCCGCCCCTTGTGAAAGGGGCCTTAGAAAGGTGGAGAGTTGTGCCAGAGGAGGGAACATTATAAGGGTGCAGGGCTGTGCCAAAGGAGGGTTCTGTTGGAGGAGGGGTGGAGTGCTTTGCTGGAAGAGAGCACTTTAGTAGCATATAGGACTTTGCTTGAGTGAGGCCTCTAGTAGGGCACTTTGGAAAGGTAGAGGGCTGTGCTGGAACAGGGAATTTTAGTAGGGTAGATTGCTTTGCTGTAGGGGCCACTTGCAAACGGTGAAGGACTGTGCAGAAGTACACTTGTACTATGAAGAGCTTTGCTCAAGTGGGTCACCTAGTAGGAGGAAGTCACTTTCAGCATGGGGCAAGGTTGTACTGGTGGAGGGCACTACTGAAATAATAAAATATCGGACAGAAAGGAAGCCATCACAATATGTTCAACATTAGAATGTAGGATAAATATTGGAGTTTCAAATCGGGCATTTTAAATATTACATGTTGAGAGGCAGAAGATTGTTAGATTTAATACATTTAAAACCCACAATGAGTTTTTTTTGTCATTTGTCACCTTTTATTGGTTTTTTGCTGAGAATGACAATTGTTTATAACATGTTGAATTGAGCCCAATGTGACAAGAACTGTAGCTCTTTTTTTAGGCTGGAAGATTCCTTATTTATCCACCCTGTGTATCTTGATGAAAATATGATGACCTTCCTGTATTTCCGATAAGGAAATCGTTCTCTATCTAATGACCATGTTCTCCACAGGGCGTCTGTGAGGAGATGACTTATGAAGAGATACAGGATCATTTCCCTGAGGAATTTGCACTAAGGGACCAGGATAAATATCGCTACAGATACCCCAAGGGAGAGGTGAGTGCAGAGGAAGCTGAGCTGCTGCTATCACAAGGAATGTTCACAACAATGTGCCACTGATGCTTCCACAGTACTGGTCATGGTCATGTTATAATGGGATGTGCAGCTTATTTGCAGGAAAATGTTTTATTTTTTTTCCTCATGTGCATCAACAAAATCTAATTAGTGAGGTGGTTAGGTCTGCAGTAAATATAACTGGACAGAACAGCAGGATTCACTATTTAGCCTCCAGTTTATATGAACCCAGAACAGCTAGAACCACTAGACCTTTATTCACCAAAAGGTTATAAGCCCAGCCTACTTCAGAGTCTGCCTATGACTGTACATAAAGTAGTAACATAATTAGGCTCGGACATACGAAGGTATTGCAAGCAAACCACTTGTGGCAACTGTTCTGAGACTTTAAAGAAGGGTAATTTTTTAAAAGGGAATAGGTAATGTTCTGTCTCTCTAATCTAAGCATTGAAAGTGTGATCTCTGTAACTTACAGTTGTGATGAGATAGCGAAAACTCCAATCTTAGTTGAATAACACAGGCAGTGACTCAATCAGATGAGACCTTGTAGATCTTGTGAAGTTTATTCCATAAACTATAAACTGAGAGAATCTTCCAACAATTAACATTGGATAGGTCAAAAGACCATAATGTGATCTGCTTCATGACATGAGGCTTGAAGCTGAAATGCCTTACTGGGAAAAGGGGTGGGCTATCTATACAGCAAGAACTAAACCAAAGGAAAGGGAGGAGCAGAGATAAAATACAAAGAACACTTAAAGGCATATGACAGTCATGTGAAACATGACCGGTAATATAGGAAACTCTGAGCAGAACTGGAAAGTTAGTTTTGGACAGAGCCCTTAGAATACATTTTTGGACCCCCATCTAGAGGGGCAGGAGAAAGGAAGGTTTGCAAACCACTACTACTTAGTGCGCTTTTCTGCCAGTCATTCATTAAAAGGAATAATTAGCATAACAGAACATAAATGGTTTGCAGGCATGCAAATTGAGTCACAGATGGGACACTATCCAATACCTCCCGACTCCCCACCCCCCCACCACCACCTTCTTTCTGCTGGTAAATATGAACCTGTAAGGGGGGACATGACCCCCTTCTGTCAGCAAACATGCCCCCTTCTGTCTGCTGACAATTATGGACCTGTAAGGAGGGACATGCCCCCTTCTGTATGCTGGTAATTATGGATCCGTATGAAATTTGTTATTTTAAAATGGTTAATGAGTGAGCATGCTGAAAAGCTCAGATTTCTGTGCAGCCTAAGTATCATGGAAGCACTTAACACTTTATATATTTTTGGATTTCTTTAAAATATTTAAGGTCTGCTTTTATAAACAAAAAAGTCTCTTGCATGTTATACATTGAGTTACTTGGAGCATTCAAAGACTTCAATATTTTATAGAAATCCAAAAGTATAATGGTCCCTTTTTCATAAACTAAAAAAAAAAAAAAAATTGCTTGGCTTGTTATACATTCAGTCACTTGCAGCATGCAAAGTCAGAACTCCTAATCTACATACTTGTTCTGAGTCAGTGGCATGGAGCATTGAAGCCAAGAGAGCTGATGACAAACCAGGGAACTGGTATTTCAGAAGCAGAAGTCCTTGCAATATTCATAGCGCAATATAAGTCTCCTTTTAAAGAAACCCCATCTCTTTGGCATCTACACTTCACCCAGCTCCTCCAATGATGATCATCAATTGCTACCATCCCACTGCAACATCCTCCACCTGTCTAAACTCATTTGCCGACTGACTCCAGAATATACAGGGGGGGGACATCAAGGTAGCCCCCACATTCTTTTCTCCTCACATGACAGCAATTGGACTAATTCATTTGCCTCTCAGACCTAAGCACTTGAGGGGTTTTTGCATAGCTGAAAGCCTCATTCCATTGGCCAACCACACTCCCTTCCCACACTGCCAGAGCCCCAGGCTAAGTATAGATGGCTGGGAGGTAGGGGGACACTAAATCAGCATCCCTCCCCCCATTAAGTGTCTGCATAAAGATGCCCTTTTTTTCTCCCCCTCAAACGTGTAGACCTTGTCCCTTTCTGTTACATTCTGTTCTTTCTCCCTACAGTCCTATGAGGATCTTGTACAGAGACTGGAGCCGGTTATTATGGAGCTGGAGCGTCAGGAGAATGTTTTGGTGATCTGCCATCAAGCTGTTATGCGCTGCCTGCTGGCCTACTTTCTAGACAAAACAGCCGGTGAGTGCAGCCCATTATCCTCCCACAACATGGTGATACAGCACAGAGCTGATGTATCGCTCTCTACCCAGCATCATGGTGCTGCAACCACGTGCCCAGTACTCCTTAAAGAACATTAATGCATTAAAAAATTTATATTTATAAATGACAATTTAATTCCTGGAATAAGCTCTATAAAAAAAAAAAAAAAAAAATCAAACACCTCTGCATTCTTCAAAAGATCAGATGAAATTTGAAAATGTTCTTTCTGATCTTCTGTCAAGCTTTGAGGCACCACTTTTGTAGAAATCTTTTCTTTTTCTCAAGGTTTCCCTGTTCACAATACTCTTCTGTCATCATTCGCACACTGTTTTTGGCTACCCACTTCTTGCGTCATCGTGAACAGCTTCCCACCCCTCCTTTAACCTCCCTGGCGGTATTCCCGAGTGTAGCTCGGGGTAAAATTTCAGTACCAAAAGCGGTGTCCCCGAGCTACACTCGGGCTTACCATGCAGCGTTGCTCAGGGATTCCCTGCAGCGCTTACCTTGTCTTTCGCTCCCGCTATGCGTCCCCTGCAGCGTCCTCCGGCCGATTCCGGCTTCCGTGTTTCGGTCCCTGCGAGCCTCGGAACGTAGGAGGGCCGGAACCGACAGCAAATTTTTTGATTTTAGAAACTGTCATTTTCTAATAAACGAAAATGACATAGTAAAACATTACTGTTTAAAAGCATTTCACATACATTTTGTCCCTAGTGCTTTGTCCTGTGCCCTGCCTGCAGTTTGACTGTTCTTTCTGCCTGGAAACTGAGAAACGTCCATGGCGTCCAAAAGGCGTCCCTTTACGTCAAAAGCGGTTTTAGACCAGCTAGAGAACAGCGATAGTAAATCAGAACCACTTGCAAAATTGAACACTGAAAACTATTTTGCGACTTTGCTCAGCTATGTGCGAACTTGGCGCTATATTTCAAATTTCAGTGTTTTTGGTTTGATTATATTATTGAATTGAGTTTATTATTATTATTATTATTATTTATTTATTAAATTATAATTTATGATTTCGTGTTTCAAGTTTTATCATACCCGGAATGTTTACTAGACTCTTGTTCGGACAGATTTCAGTGAGTTATTCCTAAAAATTACAGGCCTACAATAAAAAAAATACATATTTCCATGCAAAAAAATGTACCGCTTTCAGCACAGAAATATGGACATAATCATACCGCTAGGGAGGTTAAAACTCCTATGCCATTCAAAAATACTTGGTTTCTTCATGGAATGTTCACCACAGGCCTGTTGCAATACAGGTAAAGTTTCACTTGTAGTTTTTGCCAATTTTCACGCAAAATTTGATGTTAATCCGCTACTCCAGATTCCTGTCACTCATTTTCCGCCAACCGTGCAATGCACACATGTTATTTCTTCTATGAGCCAACGACCCAGGCGAGTGCAAGTTCGAATACGTCAAAACATGCTTGAGTGTAAATCAACACCATAGTCCTACGCTGCTGGCATGACGCGTGTCCCAGCACAGTCTCAAGAGCATAGAGGAGATTCCAGGAGACAGGCAGTTACTCTAGGAGAGCTGGACAGGGCTGTAGAAGATCCTTAACCCATCAGCAGGACTGGTATCTGCTCTTTTTGTGCAAGGAATGAACAGGATGAGTACTGCCAGAGTCTACAAAATTACCTCCAGCAAGCCACTGGTGTGAATGTCTCTGACCAAACAATCAGAAACAGACTTCGTGAGGGTGGCTTGAGGGCCCAACGTCCTCTACTGGGCCCTGTGCTCACTGCCTGACACCATAGAGCTCGATTGTCATTTGCCATTGAACACCAGAATTGGCAGGTCCACCACTTGAACCCTGTGCTATTCACAGATGAGAGCAGGTTCACCCTGAGCACATGTGACAGACATGAAAAGGTCTGGAGAAGCCATGGAGAACATTATGCTGCCTGTAACATCGTTCAGCATGACCGTTTTGGTGGCCTGGGGAGACATATCCATGGAGGGACGCACAGACCTCTACAGGCTAGACAATGGAACCCTGACTGCCATTAGGTATTGGGATGAAATCCTTGGATCCATTGTCAGACCCTACGTTGGTGCAGTGGGTCCTGGGTTCCTCCTGGTGCACGACAATGCCCAGCCTCATATGGTGAGAGTATGCAGGCAGTTCCTGGAGGATGAAAGAATTGATATCATTGAATGGCCCCCATGCTCGCCTGACCTAAATCCAATAGAACACCACTGAGATATCCTGTTGTGGTCCATCCAACGCCGTCAGGTTGCACCTCAGACTGTCCAGGAGTTTAGTGATGCCCTGGTCCAAATCTGGAAGGAAATGCCCCAGGACACCATCCATCGTCTCATTAGGAGCATACCCAGACATTGTCAGGCATGCATACAAGCACATGGGGGCCATACACACTACCAAAGCAGCAATGAAATTTCAGGAAAATGGACTAGCCTGCTGCATCATTTTTTCACTTTGATTTTCGGGGTGTCTTTTGAATTCGGTCCTCTCTAGGTTGATGATTTTCATTTCTGCCAAATGATGGGGCATCCGTACGGTCCTAACACATTCCCCAGTCCATATCAGTATAGATTTCCAGCATGATATTTTTCCCCATTGAGAGCTGATGTGTTTTCAAAGTGTTCCGTTTAATTTTTTTTTTTGAGCAGTGTATATACTTTTATGGGTATACTGGTCCTTTTTGTATTCAGTTGTAACAGTTTTTAAGGCAATGAGAAGAGTTCTGGACTCTTGGCACTTCATGATTTTCATATTTTAAGATAAAGGGGTGGTCACAGGACTTGAGGTATCCTGCTTATATCAGATCCATTAGCTTGGATGGACTAAGGTCACCAAGCCAATCGGCCATGGAGCATGTGCTCTGTTGCTTGTGAGACATTCATTGAATATGGTAGGTTAACTACTTCCTGACTGCGCTACAGCACACTCGTCTAGTCCTGGGAGAGAGTCCATGGGCATCCTCATAGAACCCCGTCCTCATGGCAAGCTCTCTGATCGCTGTGTCCTTTGCCTCGATCTGTGATCAGATGTGTCCAAAGGGCCAATCACAGCCGCACATTACCATATGATCAGCTGTGTTCAATCACAGCTGATCAAATGAAAACAGACTTGCCAGTTATCAACAGTCCTTTCCCTTACACGCTTGTCTGTGTGTTTTGAAAAGAACGAAGATAACCAGCAAGGCTGTCAGAATATGGTTTACACTGATGATCAGGGCAGTGATCATCAGTGCCATAGTTATTAGTGCAGCCTCATCAGAGCACATCAGAAGAAAACTTACTTATTTGCAAAATTTTATAACCGAAACTAAGAAAAATGTGTTTCTCTTTTTTTTTTTTTTTTTGTGTTGGCAAAAAAATCTGTGCTTTAAGCAAAAAAAAAACCCAATGGTGATTAAATACCACCAAAAGAGCTTTTGTCTGGGGGAAAAAAAAATTATAAAAATTTCATAAGGGTACAGTGTTGCATGACCGCACATTCAAAGTGCGACAGCACAGAAAACTAAAAATTGGCCTGGGGGTAAAAGTGCCCAGTATTGAAGTGGTTAATTGGCCCTAGTATGTGAATTTGGGGTCTTAGATTCTAATCTCCTTGAGGGTGGAGACTGATGTGAATGTACAACACCGATTTAAAGTGCTGCGCAAATTGATGGCGCTATATAAGCACCTGTAATACAATTCATTTACTCATTTGACAGCTAGCAGCTCATGCTGTATGTGGCTGCCAGATAAGGCTGTCGCTGATAGCTCCATTCATTGCTAATGATCGTAAAGAAGGAAGCACAGACACTCCAATGGATTTCTATATTATGGGGTATGGCGACCATCTGTTTCCCTACCCAGTCCTTTATATCTTTATGGAATAGAACTTGCATTGGGAGATGAACTTGCTTGCCTTCACCAAAGACTGGCAGCTGTAACGGATATGCAGAAAGAAAGCTAAAACCTGCTCTTTTGCTCATGCTGTCAATGCAGGAGGCAAATATGTAGTCTGCCATAGCGTCAGAAGGATTGAAGCCTTGCAGCTAGCATTTTTAGAGTCCGACATGAAGCAAGCATGCAGAAAATGAATTTCCAGATCCCTTTTGCTGCACTTGGTCTGGTGACTCTGAAAGCAGCTGCAGTGTGACAGCCGGGCAGCTAGCATCTGATAAAGGAGAGGTAAACAATGACTGCCTACATATTTTTGTCATGATGGCTGTACCCTAAGGGAATGCTGCTGATAGAGGTGGGTTCATACTTTGTGAAGACTAGGACTGTACATGCACTGTGCATTAACCTATTTCATTCTCCCCAGAAGAACTGCCATACCTGAAATGCCCTCTTCATACCGTATTGAAACTGACGCCTGTGGCCTATGGTGAGTGATTCATTTACATATCAAAGGTCTAGGCCAGAAGGGAGCTGTTCCAATTTCACTACAGTTTCTGCTCAAGAAACATTGTAATTGTTCCCCTGTGGGGTTTTTTACTACTCGGTTCTGCAAATGTGGCTCATTAGCTGATCTTTTTCAGCCAATGTTGCAATACTGCTCAGTTTATAAAGTGTAACTATACAACTTTAAAGCAGAACTCTGCCATTTTTTAATGTGTTCCCTCCCCTGCACGTTCATTTTTAATACGCACACACACCTTTTTCAAGGGTTTTCTTGTTGATCTGTTGATGATGGACCCTTCCTCCTCCTTCAGCAGAAGCATTGAGCACCCTTCAGTGCAGTGATATTCAGAGCCCAGACTGGTGTTATGACGCACTCCCAGGGGGTGTGTCTATGACTGTCTGGGCTTAGAAGTGGGTTAAGTGGTGCTAATTGTTCAACCCAAAAAAGTTGCATATATAAACGTAGTAAAACCCGGTGGCTGATCTGCATTTTTAATGGCCATCCATCTCCAAAATGAGATGGCGACTGTCTGGGTGAGTGCACACTGCTGCAGCTGCTTTATTTATCTTTATGGTGCAGCAATTTTAAATCAGTAGAACAAGTATGACAACTGGCACCGCCAGTTAAAGGAGGAGTATAGCCAAAGCTCTTTTGGCTGTACTTCTCCTATGGATCACAGAAGTGCAGTTTGTTCTGCACTCCTGTAACCCATTTGCAGCTAACAGTGGGCTAAATCCAGCCAGACCCTCCCACCCTCTCCACAGGCCAGCACTCCAGTGAGTGCTAGAGGAGCAGAGCAGAGAGCTGGAGATTAAGTCACTGCAAGGGAGAATTGAGCAATCAGCGGTGTTTGATTGCTCAGTTCTCCGTGTAGAGCTGGCGGAGAACAGATGCAGCATCCACCTAGGTGAGTATAATGTGTTTGTTGGGTAGTTGTGGTCTGTGTAATGTATTGTAGGGGTTCTCCTTTTTTTTTTTTTTTTTTTTTTTTTTTCCCCATACTTCTTTTTAAACCTGCCAATTGAAGCCAGTGTGACTGTGCCACAACTGGTAGCCAACAGCTTGGCTGTTGGTTGCAGTGTGGTAATTCAGTGCAAAATGTTCCTTTTTGGCTTGGGAAGGTGGGAAGCAATAGGCATTCAGGAGGTGGTAGCATTGCCTTCTGAACACCTGCAAACTGCCTCTAAAAAGCAATCCACTTTATTTTGCTTTCCAGAACAGTGGTAGGGATTGTTGCAAGTGTGAAAGAAGCCTTATTGTGGTGGACAATGTCAGGCTGAGGATGAATATTGCAGCAGAAACTTTGTATTTAAAGAAAACATTTTTTTTTTTTTTTTTTGGAGGAGGAACTACCACTTAACCTGAATAGCACACTGCCTCTGCTTCCCTGTACCAATCAACACCAAGGTGCTATATAATGTAAACTGACCAGCCTGTGGTCACTGGCTCAGATTTGCTCCTTCTAAGCCACAATATTGGCTGATCACTATGGTGAGTGGCTTCGCCAGCCAATAGTGAGGAGTGTAGCAATGACTACAGAAGCTGGTTGCTATCTGCATTAGTTTCTCATATGTACAGTTGCATTACAGAAGGTTAGATGGCTGGTATCAGGCACCAGCTATTCAGGGGAAAGCAGTGGTTTGGATACTTATTTTACTGTTGTGTGTTACAATGAGTACTGTACCTGTGAGATGAAGTGTCTTGAGTATCTGCGAAACGTGACAATATGCAAATGTTTCTAAGGCTCCAGCACACAAGCTTAAAAATTGCTGCTTATACAGGAGTTTTGTGTTTTGCCTGTGGAGGCAGATCAGTGTTCTGTGTCCATTGACAGGAAGTTAAGAGGCATATTTTAAACTCAGCGTTTAGTGGCAGGAAAAACCCTTCTGATTCGAGTTTTTCAATTGTAGCATTCTGGTAGTGTAAAAATTAAAAAAAAAAAAAAAAAGCTAAACTGTGTACAAAAAAGCTCTATATCAGCTTTTTTGTTTTGTCTCGTTTTTGCAAAGGGAACTGCCTTTTTTTTTTTTCTCTCCTACGCCCAGTGTGCATGGAGCCTTAGTCCAGATAGATAAATGGTGAGAAGCAGAACTACAAGATAAAAACTTGTCGGTGGACAAGTGGTCACTGTTGATTGCGAGGCAGTGACTTGGCATTGTCAGCTTGCAACAGGAAGTGGTGCTGATGGATCTCCAGGTAATAAACTTTGCAGCAGATTTACCCCCCCCCCCCCAAAAAAAAAAAAAGCTTCAGAAAACTGTATATAATAAGAAATGATGCCAGGTATACTAAAAAGATTTTTAGGAAGTACGTGCATTTTAAGAGTTTGGGAAAAGGGGTAATTAAGGTTTGTAGATGGAGTAACGTATTTGTAGCACTATATTTTTAATCCTGTATAAAAACAAAGAATACATTCATCTTATTATCGTATTCCTTTTACTACTTTGCTTGCAGGTTGTAAAGTCGAATCAATCTACTTGAATATTGAAGCCGTGAACACACATAGGGAAAAGCCATCGGTAAGTTGGGATTACTGGATGACTTTTAGAAGGGATTTTTGTGTCGCAACAGGACATGCAAACTTTAGATTTTGTTGCCACATAGCTCTGCTGTGATAGGATGACTGGTTATATGACTAAAGAGAAAAATTCTGCAACTTAATTATGCTACTATGACCAAATGCTTACTGATGGAACAAATGGCTGCTTTATGTTGCATGTGCGCTTTTGATGCGTTCCGGAACTTCCGATTCATTTTTTTTTTTTTTTTCCCCTCTTTTTCTTCAAGTTAAATAGGGACATGAGCATTCCAGTGCATTTTTGGTGCATTCGGTGCATTTTTTTTTTTTTGTGTTTTACCTTGTTCCAGTACAATTCTGTGCAGGAAACATGCAGCCTGTTCTAGTTTTTTCCTTTTTTTTTTTTTGGAACTGCAAGCAATGATGTGAGCTATGACATTGACATCCATATGACCTAATTTCTGTGCATTTTTTTGGATGCAGAAAAAAAGCACACTAAAATGCTTGTAGTGTGAACTCGCCCTAAGGCCCCATTCACACCTGTTTTGTAGCTCGAAACTCCAAAATGCTGGAAGAGGGGGAAAAAAGTGTATTTTCTACGGAGTTGGTTCACATCTCCACTCCATTGCCTGAAGCCAAACGCTTGAAGCTCAAACGTTTTGGAGCTTAACCCCCAGACCTCAGGTGACCTCTTCTTTCCCAGTCCTTGCATATTTCACCTTTTATTTAGAATTATTATAACTTTCTTGGGTAGTCAGCACATTTTTATTATAACTTAGGAATTCATTTTTTAATTTGGCATTGGCCTGATCATGGCTGGCTTTCTGAGAGCTCACCAGAGAGCTAAAGCCCACTGACACCGCAGAGCTGGTCCAGACTCTGGGGTGATCCTGACTTTATTGTCGAGATCCACCCATATGCCTGGACCAGCAGCTGGCTCAGCCTCTCGGCAAGCAGCTGAGAGTCCGAGCCAGCTGCTTCTGCCCCCTGCACAGCCTGGCACTCCAGTGAGCAATGGAGGGGCAGAGCAGAGAGTAGTGGCTGACAGTCACCGGCTTTCTGCTCAGTGAAGACTGAGAACTGAGCAATCAGCGGTCTTTGATCGAACAGTTCTCGGTCTTAGAAGTGGCGAGATACAGATGCATCATCGCAATGATGCTGCGTCACCTAAAGTGAGTATAGATTTTTTTTAACTTCTGAACTTCCCCTTGAGAGCCAATTCATGCCAGATGCAGTCTATTTTTTTCTCCTGCATCAAAAATGCATGCAGTGTTTTTGATGTATTCCAACTGGCCCTAGTTCACACCAGTGCAGTCAGTTTCTGATGCAGAAATAAAAAAGTAGAACATGCTGCATTTTTTCTGTAGAACTGTGCTGGAACACTGCAAAACGTATCAAAAGCTGTAAGCAAAAACAAACCTGGAGTGTTTTTTGTAGTGTGAACTGGCCCTTGGGGCTGGTTCACGCCATAGAAACTGAGTCCAGATGCGTTTCTACATGCATGTTTTGATGCGTTCCAGTGCATTTCAACAACCCCCATCACCCTTTTTTGGGTTTTTTTTTTTGTTTTTTTTCCTTCAGCTTAAATTCGGACATGTGTGTTCTTGATGCATTCCAGTACAGTTCAGTGCAGAAAAAAAAAAAAATGCAGCATGTCCTTTTTTTTTTTTTTTTTTTTTTTTCTTTCCCCCCTGGAACTGACAGCGCTGGTGTGCACTATGCCACTGGAAACAATATACACTACTATCAATGTGGTGTGAACCGACCCTTGGCCTGAGTTCACATATATGTGGTGCGGGATGCAGTGCAATATTTGATGGCTGGTGCAATTTTGTTCATACAGGCAGGTGTGATTCCGATGTGAATTGTTAAGTGCATCAGGCTGGCAGGCGCACAGGACCCCTTTTCAAAAGCTCACTGCAGCTGGCCTACATGTGTATGGCTCCACAGAATAGTATTTTTCACTTGCCATGCGAATCAGTGCAGTTCAAAACTCATCCAAATTCACATATATGTGAACTGAGGCTGAATCTCCATTTGGAGAGATGTTGAGGCCCTGTAGGCACAAAGGAAACAATCTGACGACAAGCCTAGGTACTCCAAGGCACCATAATTTGACTTTTTACCAGTGATGTTCATACACTTCAGTGGGCTTGACAAGTCCTCTTCATTTCCAGTTCCAGTCTATTTTTTGGTTTAACCACTTCCCGTCCAGCCCATGTATATGGACGGCAGCAGTGCAGGGGCGGGTGGCTGTTTATAAACGTCCTCCCTGCTTTCCTGCCTATGCGCGCTCTCTGGGAGCGCACGGCACCGCAATCTGGTGCCTGCTGTGGCCTCTGGACACAGCGGAACACCGATTGCTGTACGGGACCTCTGTGTAAGGTCCCAATCATGTGATCACTGATTGGCCAATTAGTGATCACATTAATAGTAGTAAGCAAGATGTCACTTCTGACATCATTGCTTACTACTAGTGAAATCTGTGAATGATCACAGCGGTCACATGGTACAAGGCTATTCACAACAGCCTTGTACCATGTGACAAGCTGTGACCAATCACAGCTCTCACAGTATTTTTCAATGGCTGCAAGAATGCAGCCAGAGAGAAGGATTAATTATTGCTTTTACAGCCTTTATGTGTGTAAAAGCAATCAGTGTAAAAATAAAAAAAAATCTTCATCACCCCCCACAAGTAGTACAGTATCACCATGGTGACACTGTACTGCTAGGGTGACAGTATATTAAAAAAAAAACAATACAATGTAGTTTTTTGGTTATAAACTAATTTGAGTTAATAAATAAATAAAAAATATATATATATATATATATATATATATATATATATATATATATATATATATATTTATATATATATATATATATATATATATTTATTTTAACTAAAAAGATAGATGAATACATTTTGGCCAAAATGTATGAAGAAAGATTATTTATTTGCTAAATTTTATTTATTTATTTTTTTCAAAATGTTTGGACTTTTTCATTTATATAGCAAAAAAATAAAAATCCCAGTGGTGAATAAATACCACCAAAATAAAGTTTTATCTGTCTAAAAAAAAACAAAAAAAAAAACAAAAAAGCTAAAAAATTCATATGGGTACAGTGTTGCATGACCACGCAGTTGTCATTCAAAGTGTGATAGCACTGAAAGCTGGAAATTGGCCTGGACTGGAAGGGGGTGAAAGTATCCAGACTTGAAGTGGTTAAGCAAACTTCAAACTTGATATGTGAAGTAACATGAGGATGTGTGCAGAATTTTTACCAGTCTTTTTGTTTTCTACTAGAATGTGGAAGTGTCTCGTGATCCAGAGGAGGCATTGGACACCGTCCCCGAACATTTTTAAAATGAGACCGATCAAAGAAGCTGAATTTGTTTTTTTTTTTTTTTTTTTTTTTTCTGCCCTAAGAAAAATACTAACAGTAGAGCCATAAACAAGATAATGCCATAAACAAGATAATACGGACTTGTTTTAGAAGGTGTCCAGCACTGGGCACATTTTAAATTTTTTGGTTTTTTTTTTAACTCTTTTAGCTTTTGAACTGTGACAGGTCCAACAGGAAAAGGAAAGGGGATGTGGAACCTTTTTTAAACAACTTAATCATATTGGCTTGCATACAGTCTTAAGTAAATTTTTGTCCCTTTCTCGTTCTATTTAAAAAAAAAAAAAAAATTTAATTTGCACTATTGCTAGAGGAGGTTTTGACATGTATGGAGTGTTGTACAGGGGTGGTCATGATGGATGTGCCTTGCTGTAATAAATTAATGTCCCAAGGGTGTCACAAAATGCAACCTCTATGGCATACATCTGTGGTGAACATATGAACTGTCATACTTCTCTCAGATGAGTGACTGTTCAGAAATGTCCCCATAGGTATGCAGAGTTGCCCTTAAGCTCACCACGCACTTTACACCCTGACCATACAATCCACTTCGGATTTACCAAAACAATGTAATCTAAAGACCTACTTAAACTATCCAAGCATTCTGTATCCAATCAGGCATCCCCCTGTACAGCATAGTTGGTAGCTCTAATGGAGATTGTAAAGAAAAAAAGTCACGTGTGGTAAGCATTCGTAGAAAACTTATCTTTACTGAAACTTTCAGGACACGTAAATTGACATCTCTTCCTAAAACATATACATTTGCAGTATTAAAGAAGACCTGTTCTCTAAAATGGTATTTTAATTTGTCTTTAATTTCCCCCCAAAAAGTGGCTGCATATAGTTCTGTTTTTGCTTTTAAAGTGATTGTAAATTTTTTTTTTTATTTAAATAACAGTTCTATGCTTACCTTCTCTGTGCAAGGAATTGCACAGACCAGCCCCAAACAACCTCTTCTCGGGTCACCTGCTGGCGCTTATGGCTCCTCTGCTGCTTTTATGGGGGCACTCGTGCAGGCTTGCTCCTGATACTCCCTGCTACTGGGTCTAATTGACAACCAATGGCTCCCACTGCCTCAGCAAAGCCTCTAAGACCAGGAAGTGAGGGGAGAGAAGAGCTGCAGGCAGGCACAGTGCTGGATCGAATGAGGGCTCAGATAAGTAAAAAGAGGGGAGGGGGTACTGATGGTCCTAAATCTCTTGCAATGCATTAACGTGTTAAAAAAAGAAAAAAACAAACAAAAAAAAGTTTAGGCTTTAAAACCAGTTAGGTTTATATATGAGAAGATTCATTCTTAAAAATGTCTTCATGTATTACTACCCAAACAAAATATTTGCTCCTATTTTAGCTTTTTATGTTTGTCTGAGCATGCCTATAGCCGGTACACTCCTGTGAAGTGTAACTGTTGCTGTCCTGCAGATATCACATGTTATATCCCCACTCCTGGGTGTGCATGAGAGTATTGTATTCAAAGGCCTCATTCCCAAGTATAGAGCTAAAAAAAAAAGGGGGTTGCCTAATTGTAAAATTGGTAGTGGTTCGCTTTAATAAATAACCAAACAAAAAAAAAATAACCAACACTGCATACTTACCTGCTTTTGTGCAATGGTTTTGCACAGAGCAGCACTGATCCTTTTATATTCTCGGGGCTGACACTTCTAGCTCCTCCCCAAATGAGCAGTGCTCCCAAAAACAAGCCGCTTGCTATGAGGGCAGTGCTCTATGCATCCATAAGACACAGCTGCGACTTGGCCTTGCCCCCTGCTTTCTCCTCATTGGCTCGCTGGCTGAGATTGACAGCAGTAGGAGGAGAGGGAGTCTTGGGACAGCTGAGGCTCATGTGCACATCGCTAGAACAAGAGGGGGCTCAGGTTAGTATTGGGGGGGCTGTGGTCAGAGCAGCACACAGGTTTTTTTTTTTTTTTTTTTTACCTTCATGCATAGAGTACATGAAATTGAAAAAGAAAAAAAAAAAAAAAAAAAAAAAACCTTCAGCATTTACAACTTTAATACGAAGTCTTTATACATCTTTGCAACTTTTGCTTTCCGATGTGTCCCTTGAATGTACATGGCAGCCATTCGCAACCAGGGTTCCCCCAGGGGTGGCTAGGGGTTCCTTGGTCTGTGGCTTACTGACCTTGTATCTGCATAGTTCCAAGTCCCAACGTCCCTGAGACCAGAAAATGTAAAGGGTTCCTCTGGGGTAAAAAGGTTGAGAAAAGCTGGTATATAGGGTTGTAGGGATTGACTTACTAAAGGCAAATAGATTGTGCAGTTGCACTCATGTCCCCAGGGTTTAGTGAATGTGGCGAAACTCTGCTGATGTTGTTCATCCAATCATCTGCAAGAAAAAATGTTTGTTTGTTTTTGTTTTTCGCTGAATGATCGTTTTTTTTTTTTTTTTTTTTTTTTAATGCTAGTCTGATCTTGAAAGTGAAGCGTTTACATATATTCATGTATGACATAATACAACTTTGGAAGTGAAGTAATGTGTTCTTTCGTTTCTGAGCATGCGTGGTCTTGCGCTTCCTATTTTCTTCAGGTGAATACTGTACTGATTATACAAAAATTGTGACACTGAAAAAAAAAAAATGTCCCTCCAAATATTTTTGGTCAGATTATCGTACAATCGCTTCAGAAGCAGTATTTTTCATCTGATTGTGTGTACAAGGCTTAAAGCTTCACCGCATTCACTAAGCTCTAGGGAAAATGGCTGCAACTACACTTGCAAAGTTCCTTTAGTAAATCAATGCCATATTAATTGTTCTGGCATAGTGAGGGTCATACATAAACTTTCTGCCTTTTAACAGGAGCATGGTTGTCACCTGGTGGTGCTTGTATCCGCTCTGAGCTACAGTCAAGAATTCGGGAGGAAATAAGCTCAGACGTGCACCCCCATTTGCATAGGTTGGGTTTTATATGTACAGTCGCTCTTGCTTAACCACAGTCATGATTTACATCATGACATCCTCATCCCGTTGCTTCTGTACCCACATTTTGCACTTGTGCAATGGGAAATGTAGTACTAACAGGCAAGTCAAATGAATTTGGAACAAATACCTATGGCTCCAGTGTAGATGTGCACAATAATGAACATAGCTTTTTTGTTGAATACTTACTTCTGCATGTTAGAATTTCTATTTGCAAAATAATTTTTTTTTTTTTTAATTATAAATGTTATACTTCCCTACTCTGTAAAATGATATTGCATAGACCAGCCATGATCCTCCTCTTTTGAGGTCCGCACTAGCTTGCTCAGCTCCTCCTCCTCTTAGTGCACCACCATATGAAGATGCTTCCTGTGGACTTGCTCCCAAGCTGGGCTGTGTGAATCCACTGACACCCAGTGCAGCTCAGCCCCACCCCTCTCACAGGATTTGATTGACAGCAGCAGGAGCCAGTGGCTTTCACTGCTGCATCTGTCCTGTGAATGTGATAGGTGGGCACAGCCCTGAAGCGATCAATCAATTGATGACTCTGGTAGGTGTTGGGGGGCAGTGCCACACAACTATGGGGGCCTTTTTTTTTTTAATTAAGGGAATGCATTAAGATAAAAAATGTCCTGCCTTTACAACCGCTTTAACAATCCAAGTAGGGGGCAATATTCTATTTGGAACAAGAGTCTAGTTCTACTTTGGTACACTCATGAGCAGGGATGCGGTTTGTATTGGTGTGACAGGGCAGCAATTGTCAGACATCTGGAAAGATTCTGGCCTTCGGAGTTCTCAAATAAGGAGCAGATATGCCCTTTGGAGACCCCTTGTACATAAATATAAATAAATCTCATTTTCAGTATTCCATATCATGTTGCCTGTGTGGGCTTGAACCCTCTTCTTTTTTTTTTTTTTAACCCCTTCACGCCTTAGGGTAAAACAAATCTTAACGCCCTAAGCACAAATTTTTAGGACAAATTGGGCTATCATTTGGTGTTAAATGGTAATTAATTTAAAAAATAATAATAAATAAAATCAGGAGATATCCAAGGAAAACTGGCCCACAATAGTAAAAAAACAAAAATCTTTTTTTATTTGGCTGTGTGTTTCTTGTTCCTACCATAACCTACCACCAAAGAACAACCCAAAATAAATGTTCCAGCTCTTGACGATTGCAGCGATACTATATATGTGTATGTTATTTGTACCCACAGTACAGGCCAGAAACCATATTGCACAATTATTAAAAAAATTTTTTTTTACCTAAAACACAGACACTGATACCAATTTAAAAAAAAAAAATCCTGACCTTGACCCAAACACTAACCCTGCCACTGAACTAGATCAAACCTTGATCTAGGTGTTTTTTCTTTCTTTGTTTTTTAATATTTATCTTTTTTTTTCTCCCATCTATGCAAGGAGAAAGAGATGCAATGTATCTCTCTCCTCCATGCATAGAGGGGAAAAAAAGGGGGGGGGGGGGGGCTGTACAGTGACTGATCACTGCGATAGCCAATCCAAGGCTATCACAACCATCATGTGACCTGGAATCCGGACCCAGGGCTCTCGGTGACACCCCGGTCTTTGTGCTGGGAGCGCGCTGTGCGGCACACTCCCAGCACAAAGACGGGTACGCAAATATGCGGCCCCATGGAAAAACACCCAGTTCTGTGATGCCGCCTATTATGTTGGTGTGAAGGGGTTAATATGTATTTTGCTGGCCCATGGATCCTGGCTCTCTGAAAGTAAACGCCAATCAGATGCGTTTTGAACCCCCTCCGCTCAGGAAGTGGTCTGCATGCAGCATTCTAGGGTTCTGCTGTAAGACTTGTCAAGAACAGTGGAATGGGAATGTGTGACAGCATAGTTCGATTTAAAGTTTGAATTGTGAGAAGGCCAGAAGTGCAAGCTAAGCATTGTATGCCCAAACAAACCTCAAGGTATACCATAGGCAAGTTGGGCCTTTAAATGGAAACCCTCTGTGAGGAGCATGAAGGCTGCCATTACCAAAATCTGAATCAGAGGATAAT